ATAGACTACAGAGGACAAGAGTGGTTAAGAAAGTCTTAGGGTCTAGCGGCTTTATATTAAATATATACTGTGCCTTACTTACCAATCCTATAGAATATATCAGCCGCTAACTAACTAGGGTTAGATAAACTCATAACATTTACAAAAGTATTCACTATACTTATTAATAAATGGCGATTTCCACCTGCGAATCTTCCTAAATCTGATAAGCCTGGTAGCCATTGTTGACTTAGACATTAAACCACCCACTTATATTGTTTAATTATACCTACTAGTCCTTTATTGAAGTCGTCAGGAATCTTAAAGAGACTAACGCCGCCATTATGCAGCAGATGATCAGCGTTTAGTATTAAAGAGTCCTAGCTTAAGGTAAAGTGTAAATATAGACATTTTTATGGGCTTAGGCATCATCTGGCTTAATTAGATCTGTCTTATAAGTACTATTATTACTAAGCCCATTAGAGTTGGTCCTCACCACACTTTTTTTTCCGGGATTTCTAGACAGTCGGGGCTGAGAGTGCTTTATTATTAGGTTAGGCAATAGCTAAAGGCTAGCGGAGGAATAGATAAAGCAGAAGAAAAAAAGGCCCTTAATCTTTTAAAAAGTTAAGTAGCTAAAAGAATAGAAAAATAGAAAAATAAGATATCAAGACCATAGGCTGCAAAGAAGAATAATGGACTTATACTAAATAAAGTGGTCTCTACCCATGTCAGCCTGTCCGGGCATTGTAAGTCTCCAAACTCTAGAGTCTAGGAGACCAAGGTCACATGCTACTAAGGCAGGATAGATACTATTAATTTAATGTTTAGAAGTACTCTACTCAAAAACTAAATGCGCTTCGGCAATACTGGGTTCAGAGCTTAAGTGTCTACTACTTTATATATAAATTAATAGAATATTTATATTTTAATTAATATTAGAGACTTATTCTATATATCTCCCACTGGTGATGTTTATACTGAGTAAGCAAGTTAAAAAAAGTCTTGCAGCTAGGATAGTCATATTCTCGGCCCTTAGGAAAGTGCTCCGGCAATCTATGTGTTGTAAAATGTTTCTATAAGCTATCTTTGCGTGCGTATGAATATTTACGGGCTTTTAGATGTCCTGGTTTGCCTAGACATATAGGATATTCTAGACTAGTTTTACTCTTCTTAGGGACTATAAATAGTTCCTCTGCCGAGATTTAAAAGCATTTGTTCAGTGTATCTAGTGTATCGTCAAATCAAATTTGTTTACTTAATGCCTTAGGTATTTTAATTTAATGTAGAGCCAATCATAGCTCTAAAGATTAAATTCAATCTTTAAGTAGGTCCGCAAATTTGATATTGTCCATGTCTCTGTTTCTAAACTTAATCTCTATAAGCAGCCTTCTCTCTAGTAAGACATGTGATAGGTTCAGCTTATAAGTCAGCGGTTTTCTCTATTAATTTAGTTTAATAATCATATCTCTAATTGTCTTAAAGAAGTTCATATAATAGTCTTCCAGAGCTTAATTCTGCAACTACTTTTGTTTATTCTTAATTAATCTCTAAAGGTTATAATAGTTCCTATGCAGCAATATGCCTTCTGTATTTTTAATTTAACTATATAGCATAATTAAGTCTCTCTATAGTTCCTTATACTTAGTTTTTAGATTAAGAAGTTCCTTATTTATCTCAGTCTCATGTTTTTGGTCTTCAGTAAGCTTTTAAGGTGTAGATGGGTCTTAAGTTAAGCTTACATGGCAGGCTAACTACATTAATGAGAGCCTTAGAGGCGTCCCCATAAAAGCAGATTAGGTGTTATCTTGGACTTATACATAGTACACAAAGGCGCTGCCATGTCTTTGACCCATAATTTAATTATGTGAATATTCATTAAGATGTCCTTTATATATCCAGTTAGTTATAGAATAATTAGTTATAAAAATATATAGGTACTTATGTAACTTCTCTATGGCTCCTTTATAGTATCTATATAGACTTCCGGCATCCTTATATCTAGCAGATTAATTAGCAACTTTTTCGTATTTGAGCAGTTGCTTATAGGTTGTAGGTAGGGTAGGATCTATCATCTAAACTCTATTATGACCTTTTACTGGGCGCCAGAAGATTAGAATCTTCTTCATCTCCTTCCTAATATAAATTGGAGTGCTCAACTGATGGTCTGGAATATTAGTTAATTCCTAGATATCTTGTAGTGTCTTAATGTGTTTGCTCGCAAAGGCATTATCCAGAAAAGCATACTTAAGAATATCTTAAATAATATAGAGGCTAAGGTTATTATTTCGCTCTGTGTAAGTGAAAACTGGCCTAAATAATAGGTTAGAGAATACCTAGGATTAACTGGGTATACCTACTTATATAACACCCTTATTTCTTTTTCCCTTATTTAATCGGTGCCTAGCCCGCATAATAAGAGTTTGAGTTGTCTGGTCCTCTAGGTACATCACTATAAATAGTTTAATATCCCCCCACTTTAAAGCATCTAGGTGGCTTATATACCTAGATAACAGAACAATAGTTCCTGGGCGCGCAGAGGTAGTAGTCATTATTTTCTAGAGAGTACTAAGTTAGTATTAATATTATGCAGTTAGAAAAGACATATTAGTGACACCTATTAGATAGTAGGTGCTATAAAGAAGATCAGTAATATTAACTAATGGCTGCGATTTTCCCTTATGGTCAAGCCCATATTTATTAGTAAGTGTCAGGCACACCAACTAATAAAGTAAGCATAAGGACCACTCTACTTTAGATATATATATATATATTTATTAGTCTTTATCTAAGGTTGTATAGAAATACCTCATTTCTCTATTCACACCAGTACATTCTTCAATACCGTATATGAACGAGAAATCCTGATTAAAGCCTAATATCGTGGCTTTCAATATACTACCTTAAGAACATCTTAATCACTCTTAATATAATGTTCTGAAGCTAATAACTAGCATCTAATGGCTCAAGTTCCTTAGTAAACCTATACACTATAAGCAATAGACGATGGAAGAAGGTATACCATATAACTATAACTTACTTCTTAAATAAGCCTTATATTTAATTCATAGAGTTTCTAGTACTTTGGTCCCAATTGCATTTAATGTCGGGATTAAATTCTTAAACCAAAGTATTCTAATTAACCTTTGATTTAGGCTTTGCAACGCGTTTTCTAGCCATGGTGCCAGTAGGAGAGAAGTAAGAATAAGCTTAAGCAGATCATGAATAAGGAAGAAGTCTTAGAGCTGGTAAATAGCCACTAATTTATATCTACTCATAATATATGCGCCTGGCTCAGCCTATACAATATAAATATACTGTTGGAAATTTAAGCTAAGACTAAAAAGGTATGGTCAGTATAAGCCTATAATATGGTGAAAAGGCCACAGTTTTCATGATAATCACCACGCACGTCTCATGTCATTTCCACCACCACCTAGAGTTACTCCGTACTACGCACTCGTAAGACGCGAGGGTCCAGCCCACCTGCATTCCAACGATCTTGCAGATCGATCGTTGATCCACAGTCAGGGACAGAGGAGAGATATAAGAATGTGTCATGAACTGGATTATTTATTATGTTTATGTTTATTATGAGAAATACCAACTAACTATACAAACTACATCAAATCTTCTATAATAAATGAGGGCTGTTACGGAGTACCTACTCTGTATACTCCGTAGTACCAAGTAAAACATTTATTAGGCTCTTCTCCGGCTCATTTCCGCCCAGTGCCGATCCTCGCCCAGTCTTGATTCATTCTCTCCCCTCTTTTTTTGATGTTTCCTTTTATAGTTGATAGTGAGACAGATAATAAGACCTGCAGACACAACTGGACACCAAGCAGTGACAGCAACACTAAATTAGGAACCCCAGGATTAGCCAGCTAGTTCGAATCACTACGATCAGGGTCTGGATGGACCTCAGGGTCTTCCACGCGTCACTGTGGATTACCAATGATATTGTAGTACGGAGTAGTGTCAAGATACCGAATAGATACTTATGTAGTAGTTACGAATAACTACCTAGGTATACTACATACTACTCCGTCTAGAGTGCAGGTCTAGAGTATGTACTGTAGTTGCCCCTGATACAGAGTACGGAGTACGGAGTACTCCTGAAGATCAGAAATAAATAGAATAATAAACTATTGAAACATCACCAACAGCCAGAGATGATGCATTCTCATGATGTCAGGGGCTGTCAATAATAATCCTGCATCCAGAAGACGCAGTCGTGAGGAATATCAAAACGGAAATACCCGAAGCCTGGAAGATTTAGGATGGTCACGTGTGGTCACGTGAATTCAGAATTAGTGCCTGGGGCATGATAACTATACTTATGCCTCAGGCATCATGCATCATGGCAATTCCGCATCACCGAGTCTCGACTAAACAATAATGATTGACTGAGAACCGACAATCTAATATTGCCAAGATCTACTCTGTATGTAGTATAGAGCTTTCCTGAGCGTGGTTACCGACTACGACTAGGTTATTATCTCCGTGAAATCTTCTCGGTCACATGTCCAGATCAGATCATGCCACAGTCAGCTCACTCAACCTCCCCTGGGCATTAAGACTTTACCCCCATCAATAGGAACGCCTGAATTACCATCAGAACCGATCCGAGCCATCGAACCACCTATAGACCATGACGCGACTATTCCACCGCTGGTTCCGACCGATCACTTGATACCGAAGCGATTCTGACTGACAGCCTAACTGCCTGACAGCTACCAGATGTCCCAGATCCTGATCGAAGACTGCCTCTGCCACCGGCGTGGCACTGGCCAGTATTCCGGATCATGTCATGATCTGGCCATCCCAATGATGGTGGTCAGACTGGCTGTGGTCTGATATAAAACATTGTCCAGTGTCCAGTCCACTAATAGCACCCAGCTAACAACAAACAACACTCACAGTCTGAAGCCTGCCAGTCTAAAGCCTGCCACAGTCAGGCTACAACAGTCAAACAACAGTCACCGTCTAAAGCCTCAATCAATCAATAATTTTCTGACATGGACAAATCATCCTCCTCGCGTCTCCAAAACGACTTTGGCGCAGATCTCTGGGTCCGCAACGGTCCTCAGAAGAGGGTACGTCCCCCTTGTCCGTCTGTGATTGCAAAACCCTGCTAACAGGTGTAGTCTCCTACTCTCGGCCGGGGCCTGTTCGCCGGCTTACAAGATGCGAAGCATTATAACGTTGACTCCGGGTGGGCAAAGCGCACCAACGATGCAGACCAGGGGGGGATCTTCTCCTTATTCTGGAACAGGTGAGATACTCATACCCCCTTATCACCTTCTACATGTAGTTTAAGGATCTGGGCTGATAGAGTAGGGTATTCGGGGGAGCCTATCGTCCGCCGGAGTGATTGAATGAGTTTTAATGTTTTGTTTGTGATTAGCGTACTGTAATGAATATAACTACTATTGGGAATCTTACAATAAGGTGGAATACTAATAATCATAAAGAGTCTAGTAATAATGTTGTATATTGTATATTGGAAAATCTACTATCTATACAGTTACTCCCAGGTGGTGATCTTCATGGTTCCCTTCTCCTGCAGGTTCTGGTGCATCTTGAAGGCCTGGAAGAGCAGATGCGGCTCATGGCCCATGCCCTTCTTCAGGCACTCGAACTCGGCGCGGTCAAAGTAGTCCTGCAGGATGGGCTTGTAGTCCGGGTGGGCGCACTTGTCGATGATGACGCGGGCGCGCTCGCGCGGGGACAGGCCGCGCACGTCGGCGAGCCCCTGCTCGGTGACGACGACGTCGAGATCGTGCTCGGTCTGGTCGACGTGCGTGCAGAAGGGGACGATGCAGCTGACGCCCGTGGGGTCGATCTTGCTGGGCCGCGTGCTGGGCGTGTGCATGATGCTGTACTTGGCGCTGCGCAGGAAGTCGGCCGAGCCGCCCAGCCCGTTGAGCATGCGCGAGCCCATGACGCACGTGCTGTTGGCGTGTGCGTAGATGTCCACCTCGACGGGGGTGTTCATGCCGATGACGCCCAGGCGGCGGATGATCTCGGGCGAGTTGGAGACCGCCTGCGAGCGCAGCAGCAGCTTGCCCGCGTAGCGCTCCCAGTTGTCGTAGAAGCGCTTGAAGCCGTCGGGCGAGAAGCGGATCGAGGTCGCCGTCGCAAAGTCCAGGTGGCCGCTGTCAAACAGGTCCAGGAAGGAGTCCTGCAGCACCTCGGTCCACACCTTGAGGTTGTGGAAGTCGGCCCCGCCCTTGCTCAGGCCGCCGATCACCGCGTTGGCGATGTTGCCGATGCCGGACTGGATCGGCAGCAGGTTCTGCGGGAGCCGGCCCATGGTGACCTCGTGCTTGAGGAACTCGATCAGGTTGCTGGCAATCGCCTGCGACGAGGCATCCTCGGGGGCGTTGGGCTGCGTCTGGTCCGGGTAGTCCGACTCGACCACCGCCACCACCTTCTCCGGGTCGATGGGGATGTACGGCGTGCCGATGCGGTCCTCGGGCGCCATGATCAGGTACGGCTTGCGGCGCGGCGGCAGATCCGTCATGGTGATGTCGTGGAGACCCTCGAACGACGGGCTGGCCGTGTTGACCTCGATGATGATCTTGTCGGCCATCTGCACCAGCTCGGGCGACGCACCCACCGAGGCACCGGGGATGATCCCGCCTTCCTCCGTAATGGCCGACGCCTCGATAACCGCGACGTCCAGCTTGTTGTTCGGCTTGTTCATGGTATAGTAGCCCTGACAATCAGCTTTCTTCTTCTTCTTCTTCTCCTTTTCTCCATTGAAAGATATATTTCAACCTACGTAAACCAGATCCGACGGAAACATGCTCAGATGCTTGTCAAAGAACTTGATGTTGCCATTGTTGATGCCCTTGGCGATCTCCTTGCCCACCTGATGGGGACTCCGCCGCTCGATCATGTTCAACTTGGCCCAGCGGTTCTCGGTCTCGGCTCCCGACGACGCACCGACAAACAGCGTGTACTTGAGCTGACCCTGCAGATTGTTCTTCTCGACATGGTCGGCGAGCGCGGTAGGGACTTTCCTGTGTTTCCCTTGTCAGCTAAAAAAAAAAAAAAACCAGCAATATCAATTGAGCACAGAGACGACAAGGGGGGGAAGCAAGGCAACGTACTTGGGATAGCCCACACCTGTGAAGCCGGACCAGCCGATATAGGAGCCGTGGGGGAACAGATCGATGAGGTCTTCCGCCTTGGCCAGCTTGTTCAGCATGGACGGCCGGCGCACACGGCTCTTGAGAAGCGCAGAGGCAGCCATTGTGAAGGGGGGGGGGGGGAGTGATACAGACAAGGAGTGGAGAGTAGCAAGAGGAGGAAAGCAACAGGAGGAGGAGGAGAGGAGAGGGAGATAGAAATATTAAAAGTTTCCCCGTATTTCCGCCTGGTACGCGGGTGTTACAGACCGTGCAAAACCCCCCCTCCCCCCCAGGACAGACTCGGTCCCCGCCACCACGTCTGAGAAGGGGGATGGCTCAATCGGCAGACGCTCTGAGACTCCAGCCCAGCGCATCTATTTGTTTGGCTCTACCCCACGGGCAGCAGGAGTCGAGGTTATTCCCCTCTCACGATGCCGGTGTTCTGAAAAAGTGGGTAACGGCTTTCCCGAATAGGCATCCTCTGGCGGTATTTTCAGTTTGCACGTACGCACTAACCGTTTCCGGCTGCACGAGCCTGACGTCACCTCGGCGTATTCTCGGCTTAATCATTTAGTATGTGTCCTGGTCCTGGATAGGGAGTCACTCTCTCTGCCTCTCTACAAGCTAGAAGAAAGAACGATTCTAATGGAATCAGCTATCTAATGTCTACAGAGATAATATGGTTATTTATTTGCTGCAAAACAAGCAGCTGATACCGCGACAGCTGCCTCCGCCGAGAAGCCGATCGCCCGCCGCTCGGCCTAGTCTCGGCCTGTATCGGGTATGACTTCGGCCACACGGAGGAGCTTCAATTAGACAGACGGTCCAGATCAATTTCAATCTTCTTGATGACTGGAGGATCGCAAAGCTCGTGATAGGCTGGTGCTCCTGATATCTCGGCTAGAGTGACAATGCATTCAGAGGACAGAATGCTAGAAGAAACGGAGGCAGTACTACGGAGTAGTTACGGAGTACATATATATTGTTACATTGGTATAGAGTGACCACTACCAGTCTAATAGATCGTAACGTTTGAATACCTAGGTACTAGATCAACCGAGTTGAGCACCACGGAGTGAAAATCCGATTCACGGCTGCCTTGAACATGGATGCAGAGGAGGGCGTCAATTAGTTCAAAGCACAACCCTGCGACACGACGGGGATAAAAAGAAGAAAGAAAAAAAAAAAAAAAAAAGAGGAAAAAAGAATCAGAATAAACCATATAATCTACAGAATGTCATCATATTCATCTGGGAGTAACCATCCCTCGGGTTACTCCTTGGTCGACGCAGGCTCGGAATCCACCATCGCCGTATCTTCTTCTTCTTTCTCGTCCGAGGCGGTAGTAGCTTGGTTCTTCGACTGAGACGCCTCGGCTGCGCCGGCGGTGGTATTGGTGGTCGCCGTCTCAGGTTCCTTGACCCACGAGCGGAAGCGCTGGTTCGACTGGTCCACTTCGTCCTTGCTCAAGCCATGGGCCCAGCTGGGGTTGTTGATAAATTTCTCGGTAAACCGATCGCGTCGGCGCTCTCTGACTGCCGAGTCGTCCTTGAGTGACTCGTCGGCCACGGTGACCGCCTCGTCGGCAGCGGAGTGCGGCGAGGCCGAGGAGGTGGACGCCTTGCTCGGAGGAGGGCGCCACCACCAGTCCGAACTGCCCGGCTGGTACAGGATATGATAGCTGTTGGCGCAGATACGGATGATGAGTCCGTCGTGATGAACCAACGGTCGATAAAACCGGTTATACTCGTCTTCCTGGTCCGGCTGCGGCGGCAGGTTCCGTTTTAGGAGCGGCATGCGCATCTGAGAGAAGGGCACGCCTTCCGTCGGATCCCGCATGATGTACGCCGACACATAGTAAGACCAGCGGGCCTCCTGGCTCAGCTCTTCGTTGTCGATGGTGCTGTCCTCGGGGGTCAAGAGCTGCACCGTGGTCTTGTTGCTGGTTGGGTTCTGCAAAACAAGGGTTAGAGAATGTCAATAGATTGTAGAACCAGATAGAGAGAGAGAGAGAGGCAAAAAAGAAAAAAGAAAAGAAAAGAAAAAAACTTACGTGGGTAATGCGGTAGATGTCTCCATCTTTGACCAATCTCTCCACCTGCTTACGGTACTGGATCTCTTGGTTGTGCGTGGTCTGATCGCGGTCGCGCTCCCGGAAGAAGAGATTCATAATGTCAGAACTCTTGTCCTTGGAGTCACCGCTGAAGATCGCCCCCGCAAACTTGGCGATGCCAGAGAACATCTTCTCGATATTGTACAGCTGGTAGCCGCTGCGGAGGTAGAACCGGCGCAGGGTCTCCTCCAGATGGGACAGCTCCATGTCACCCTTGATGACCTCGTCGCACATGCGCACAATCTGCTCGTACAGGTTCGCCTTGGGATCAACATCATAGAAGAATTCCGACGGAAGCTTGTCGATGAGTGTGAGGTCGCGTGCCGGCTTGGCCAGCATTGCCCGACGGACGTCCTCCCGCGCATCGTTCTCGTGCAGCTTGACGCGCAGAAGACGGCTGTATAGGATCTCAAAGGTACGGAAGAAGCAGTAGATATTAATGTTGGCGTACAAGTGGTGGACCTTCTTGTCGTACGACTCGTTCAGAGTGACCTCGCGCTGCAGGTTGAAGTTGCCCTGGAAGGGGTGCTCCATCCAGCGGAGTTCCGCCACATCAAACGAATCGGTAGGATCAGGGACAGGTGTGCTAGCCACCAACGCAGCATCGGGAGTGCCATCGCGGCTGGCCAGAGCACTGTTTTCCTTATCACCACCACTAGCACCACGGCTGGGCTTCTCGCTGCCTCGTTCCAAAACGTCTCTGAGAAGATTGAGCTTCTTCCCATTGACCCCCGCCTTCTGGCTATGAGTCGAGGAAGCATCTTCTGCAATGATGCTCTCCTCGTCCGCCTCTTCCGCAGGCGAGTCGTCACTCGTGACCTCGTTCATGTACTCGTGGAATGTGTCCCGATCCATGCCGAAGAAGAGGGGGACAAAGTCTTTGATGAAATTCATCACCTTTTGCGGATCCGCGCCAAAGCCTGAGTTGCGGTCGATGAAAGTGAGCAGCAGGTGAGTTGCGTCGATGATGACTGCAGGATCGTCAAAGGTGAATTCGAACTGGTGCTTGGGCATTTGGAAGCCGCTCTTGCGCAAAGTCCGGCCCTCTTCAAACTTTGACTGAATCTCGTTCTGAATGTGTTTGGCTACAAAGAGCTTCTTGTCGAGGGTCTTGCTGGCAATGGCCTGGTGGTCTAGGCTGCGCCAGTAGGCCTTTTGCATCTGCTCACGCCAGACCTTGTCCCATTCGCGCTGGCTGGCTTTCCATTCGTCGCATTTTTGTTTCAGTCGGAATAAGACGATGGGAAGAATGTGACAAGGTCGGTTGAACATCTCCTGAACGATACGCTCGCCGCGCTGGCGTTCATATACCTTCTTGATCACTCGTTGGTAGATGGCTTCGCTTTGACCGCCCAGACCGGGGGGCAGCTTGAAGGCGGCCCGCTCTTGGTCTGACATGACGAGGAACTGTTGGACGATCGGCTCGATCAGTTGAACGGTCCGGGTGCAGGCCTCAATGTGGTGGTCATAGTCATGACGATCTTCTTCAATCCGGTGCAGCGCATCCTCGAACTGGTTTTTACGATGGACCACGAACCCAGAGTCCTCCGAGGCCCAGGTCGGGTGTGATGCCCATTCATCGTTCAGGACACTGTAGCACAGCTGGTCACGTCCACTGCAGGGCTTCTGGCGTTCGCGTTTGGGCAAAAGGCGATAGCTAGGGCCAAGAGAACGACAGTGGGAAAGGTTGACGGTGCCAGACTCTTGCTTGGCCTTTAGGTCAATGATCTTGTCTTCGGGTTCCTCAATGTGCATGAAGCGCTTGAACCAGTTCATAAGCTCCGGGTTGGAGCCGATGAAACCAGCGGCGCGTTTGATGAGGATGTGTCGATCGATTAGATCAGTCGAGTAAAGATTGCACAGCTTGAGGAACTCGCTGAAGGTCTGCTTGTTGCCAATGAACTTCTTGACCCGGTCAAAGAAGGCGAATTCTTCCTGTGTCGGGGTCAGGGAGAAGGTGGGCTGAATAGGTTCCGGCAGAGCGGGCACCAGGGTGGGAGACACGGCTGGAACATCTGCTGAAGGCTTGGTGTGATGCACCTTAGCCCTCTTGTTCGCATTCCCGGCCTGCAGAGCTTGGGTCCGCCCGGCTTGAAGGTCGCCCATCCTTGAGGCATCGACACCAGGAGCAGGCCCTCCAGCACCCAGGCTACCGGGGGCACCGGGCGCTCCACGACGTTTCTTGCTTTCTTTGCCCGAGTCTTTGACATTGAATTGACCGAGGGGGGGCATCTTAACGTCACGGTTGGGAGTGTGGGACTGAAGAGGTCCGCCACTGGGGTAGGGCTCCCCACGCACGTTGCTGATCGGAATGGCCTCTTCGGCCTGACGGGCGGCCGCCTGTTGTTTGGCATGCGCTGCCGACTCCGGCAGGAACTGCTTGAAGTCTTCCAAAAGATCGGGAGCCGTGTTGAAAAGCTGAGTCACCTGAGCATACACATCCTGAATGGGTTTGGACTCGCGCTGGTAAGTCTGCAGAATCTCAAGGAATTGTTTGTAGATCTCCGGAGCACTAGAGAATCGGTTCTAAGGAAACAGTCAGCGGGAAAGGTATGATTTTTGAAAGGTGGAAGAAAGAAGATAAGATCAAAACTGACCTTGATCTTGTTCACATAACTAATTGCATGGTTGAACTCGACAGGCCCACGCTTGTTCAGGTCCGCCTGGCCACCTTGGAGGACATTGGAGCCGACACCTGCCAAACTATTCATCGGCTGGGACAAGTTAGCAGGTTGGCCGGAGGCAGAAACCGCCTGCAATAAGGATGGTCGGCCAACGGCAGCAGCAGAAGCAGCGTGGGCCGCGCCCTGGAGCTGGGCAACTCCGCGGTGATCTTGCTGATGGGCCAGACTGGCAGTGGTGGCTGCCGCCTGCTGATCCTGCTGAGTTTGATACTCATAATGATGATCTTGAGGCTGAGCCTGTGGGCCCTGTTGGCCGTAGATGGTTGCACTCAGCATCCGGGACTGCGGCGAGTATGATCCTGGGATATTGCCCTGTTGTTGCTGCTGCTGCTGCTGCTGCTGCGGCTGCTGCGGCTGCTGCCAACCCGGGCGAGACTGGTCATAATATTCGGGACGACCATGAGGCGCCAGGGCACCGGCATTGGGTCCCATATCCCCGACAGAATCCAGTGACGGACGAGGGCGAGACATGCTGAGGGTATTTGTGCCCGATGGAGTGGTCACTCGGATAGCATCCGGGTTGTCCTCGGTGCCACACTCGATGCGATAGCCGGGGGGCAGGAATGTGTTAAAGCCCTGAATCAAAGCGGGGTGGCCATTGAAGAGGGAAGATACACGTTGGATGACGCCGGGGGTGTCAATACTGAGACAAGTCAGAACCGTCTCGTGAACCTTGCGCTGGAAAGAGAAAGAAAAATGAGGCGACACTTACGCCTGACTCTTGAAGTCCTTCATGATGTCAAGAAAACGGTTGTAGACATCAGGTTGATCAACGAAGCGGACTTTGACTTGGTCCAAGTAGCTCAGCGCATCCTTCAAAAAGAAAGAGAGAAATGTCAGCTCGAACGAAACGGTACGGTACAAGAGTGAATCCATCAGGCGAGAATTCTTCTTCTTCTTCTTCTTCTTCTTCTTCTTCCTCTTTTCAAGCAACAAAGAGAGCAATACTTACATTTAAAATCGGCTGCTGGCCTTGAGCAAGAGCAGCGACGCTTCCTGGGATCTGAGGCCCTTGGCCAGGATGGCCCAGCATAGGCTGTCCTGGCGGCCCAGCCGGATGCTGCTGCATGTATGCACGGGGAGTGCCTTCCCCATGCTGCAGCGAGGCGGCGTAAAGCCCGCCCGGTCCACCGGATGACTGCATGGCATTCTGCGGACCATTTGCAGGGTTGGACCCTAGATTGGAGAGCAAGCCATTGGGACCGTGGATCGAGTTTGGTACCTTGGAGGCCACAGGCTGGTGAAGGGGGATCGAGCCGGTATGGCTCTGTACCGGATGATGATGCTGTTGCTGTTGCTGCTGCTGTTGCTGCTGTTCGCGAGCACGCTCCAAATACTGTCGCTCCATCTGTGAGCGTTCGAGACCCTCACGCTCCCGCTCCCGCTCCCGCTCCCTGTGGGCCATCTCCTCCTGCCGCTGGCGCTCGATCATCTCGCGCTCTCGCGAGTCTCTTTCGCGTTCCCGGTTGATCGACTGCGGCGACGGGTGCTGCATGGCTTGTCCAATACCCGGGAGTGAGTGGCCGGCACTATGGGAAGGAGCAGGAGGATGTTGACCGTACGCTGGAGGTTGATGGGGACCTCCAGGACCTTGACTCAATTCTGCCAGGCCGGGGAGGGAATGTCCAGCGGGCTGGTTCGCGGGGTGGTAGGGGCCTAATCGATTCAAAACGACCAGTTAGAAAACCCCAAAAAAAACCAACCTTCCAACCACACATTATGACAAGGAAAGGGGAGAAAGCCAGGGAGGAAAAAACAAACTCACCAGCTGGAGGTGGCAGGACTGGGCCCGCGGACTGGGAGGAAGGGCCCTGCTGAGGTGGGGGGTTCTGGCTGCAAAATAGTTAGCACGAAGGGGGGTTTCCCTTGTCAAACAAGATGGTGTGCTCTATCGGAGAGAGCCCTTATATATATATATATATATATATTATTATTTTCATCCGATCTCTCGGTCGGACACTTACCCAAAAGACCCCAAGGGACGCGGCTGCTGGTTCAAGTGATCCATGCTAGGATGGGAGGGCGGGCCACCTGCAGAATGCCAGTTATCACTCCCAGAAGGGTTCATGGTCGACTCATGCGCCGGTCTCGAAGTGAACAGGATGTAGCAAATCTAAGGGGTTTGTCGTAGCGAGAGAGAAAAATCAGGAGGAGGAGGAGGGTGGAGGTTGGACGGTTGGACGGTTGGACAAGTCGCTGCTTCAAAGCTGTATTTCTGGGGACCCTTTTTCTCAGAGATCTTCACGACGGCACATGGCGGCGCTCACAGGGCAGGAAGAACAAGAACAAAGACAGCTCCAGCAGCAGTAGACCGATCTGCCGAGAGAGCAACGGGATGGGCAAGAAAGAAAGACTCCAGTGGTGGGATGCAGACGCGCAGAAGCACGAAGCTGAGGAAGGACCGAGACAGCAATTTGGTGGTGACGCCGGTTTGCGCGCGACCGATTCCGGGCTGGCGCTGCGGAGGCTGCGAGGGACGCTAGGCTGTTTGGAGGGCTAGCGTGGATGGACCGGGTGCTTGATGTTCCGGCCGTCTGACCGCCTTCGTCATCGATTCAAGTGGTATACACTATAACTACCTAGGTAGGTACTACAGAGTGCCTAGGTGATTACCTATTACCTAACTTACTGAGGTAGTACCCAGTTACTCTACAAGGATTTGGTGAATAGGTGATTTTGACTTTTCATGAAAAATAGTATACTGTAAAGGACTAGAGAGAAGGTGCTGACAGAACTTGGTAGATTATTAGGTAGCTCAAGCGCTTGCTGAGTGACCACTGCCCAGTCCTTCCTACAGTAACCGGTTCAGAGGGGATTGTCTAAATTATATGGGACTCGCACTTTGATTAATGGTTCTGTTCTTTTCGAGATAAATCTGTGGCTGTTGCGGTTATCGGTTTCAACTCCATATCCAACCAATTGTCCTCGTTCCGTCTCTCATTGTTGGGGGTCTCATCATTGCTGTTTCATTAACAAGAAAAAAAAAAGGAACCGGTATACAACATGTCACGTTTCCTATAGCAGCCCCCTTACAAGGCCGAGAAAACAAACAGCTATCAGGAGAGGTTAGCAGGGAGGGGGGGAACATGATAGACAGAGAGGGGGG